GATCCTCCAGAACACTTCAATGTCTAAAGTGGAAATAAAATAGTAACGAAGGAAATAAAAAGTCAGATGTTGAAAAGTCTTCTTTTTATTGTCGGTTCGTTAGTAACTGGACAATTAACAAGACTGCGAAGGAGGCTAGAAAACGTATAAGATCGCGGAACTCTAATTCACAATCAGGCGTTTTAAGACAAAAGAACGGATTGATACCTTGTATTTCTATGGAATGTGGTCTCCCGACTTGTGTTTCAAATCTTTTAGATTTTGTTGGGCGTCGGTGTTATTTTTAATCTAAGCGACGCGAGTAATATTCGGCCGCGAGGGACGATTTGCTGCCGAGGGAGTTTTTGTCACGGAGAGAAGGTTTCGCGCTCCAACCTTCTCTCCGTGGCAAAAACTCCCTCGGCAGCAAATCGTCCCTCGCGGCCGCATACTACTTGCGTCGCTCAGAGAAAAAATAACGCCGACGCCCAACAAGACTGCGAAGGAGGCTATACATTTTCCAACTAATTATATAATATGAGTTTAGTATAAATGATTTGGAGCTTTCGGGCCCTACAGACTATAGCAGTACTGACTGGTCCCTGATTTGTGAGTGTGTGTTCAGACGTACCTTTAGCCTTGTAGGCAAAGCTTTCTTCCTCGCCAGGAGTTTTGTTTCCGTGAGCGGCCTCTGGTTCTGGTTTGTCGTCACAATCTCTTTTGCACATGGATAGTTTTCAAAGCCCCACCTTAAATTGGTTAGATTCTCTGAAGAGGACTGACTTTTAGGAACATCATCTCACATAGAAGTTAAGACTTGTGCTACAATCCCTTTCGCACTGAATCTTACATGATAAATTTTCAAAGACCCACATGCTGCATAAGACAGCAGACTGGTGTGGTGGTACATGTATATCATACATGCTCAAGTGTTAACAGTGTCTTTGCCAAGCCCCACCCTGAACTGGATCTCAGCAGTCTGCTTCCCGGCTGGGTTGGCCACCACGACCGTGTAAGTCCCGCCGTCGACCTTCTCGCACTTGCGGAAGATGAGCTGCGTGACGCCGCCGACCGTCTTGGTGACGACGCGTATGGTCTCACGGAAGACACCGAGTCCCTTGTAGTATGATAATAACAATGGTTTTTATTGGTCAAACACCACCCTTTCTTCAAAGTGCTGAATTGATGCAGGGCTTGCAATCACTGAATACAGAATACACAAAGGGTTAACAATCAAATAATACACATGATACGTGATATTTGCTCCACACACACTTTTGTGGAACTGTCGCAAAGGCCATCGGGCATTGTCAAGTGCCGGCCTCCATGTTATGTGGCCACAGTTTCACCCAGAGAACATTGCAAGGTTGCCAACATGCAATTTTGTATATGCTGGGGGTTTAGGTCTGGACTTACAAGTCCGGAACTGAACCTAAACATCTGGACTTGAATCCGGACCTGAACCTAAACGTGGGTTTAGGTACACAGCACTAACGACAAGTATACCAGGTGACACACCTTGTACCAGGTGACGGCGGGGGTGGGCATGCCATGCAGCTTCAGGATGAAGTCCTGTCCTTCCTTCAGGATCAGGACATCGGACGTCACAGCGCTCAGGTCAATAGAGGCGGGAACTAGGGGAGGAACTAGGAGAGTTACACCTTAGCAATGGTAGCAAATATACATTGTAAAGTGTATGACTGTATGAATGTACAATGATCATGAAAATATCAGCAAACTCACATTTATAGAAATGATGCATTTCATACATGTTAGATCATGTCAAACTACATCACCTAGTATATAAATTATGTGATCTGCCTAAACTCATGTAAAAAAAAACTTTTTATTGGAAAATACCAAAATTAATGATTCTATTTGATTGTAATGTACACCTCATGTATAGGTATCAGAATTTGTTAAACTATGTAACTATGTATGCATACAATATGCTTTCAGATTTGTAAGTTCTAAAGGCCTTGATGTACATGTACATGTATTAGAAGGAAGGAACAGACATCTTACCAATCTGTTCCTTGCAGACGACAGCGGTTGTCTCCCTGGGCTCGCTGATGGCTCCGTAGTTCTGCGCGGAGACGCGGAAGCGGTACTCCTCGTGCGGGACGAGGTCGGTCACGGTGCATCGCGTGAGGCTGAGGACCGTGCAGCGCTCCCATTGGGCGTCCTCCACGCTGGTGCGAAGTTTCTCCACGACGTAACTCGTGATGCGTGATCCGCCGTCGTAGTCCGGCTTCACCCACGCCAGCGAGACCGTGATGGGAGTGATCTCTGTGATGTCCACCTTCTTAGGCGGGTCGGGTTGGTCTGGGGAGAGGTTTGGAAGATTTCAGTCATTATAAGTCTCCACATACAGGTAACAAAATGGTCCCAGTGTTGAACTTATAGCCTGCTCTACTCAAGACAAAGAGTTTCAACATGATGCTTATGATGTTTCCACGTACATGTACCAACACTGTCTGTTTGTAGAACTTATAACAGTCTACTCTACTCAACACAAGGAAAGTCAGCTAGCCACAGAAAACAGGATCATGCTTATCTCTTGGTCTGGGGAGAAGTGCAAGAAGTTTTGAAAATAAAGTCCCAACATAACAAAAGTGTCCTTGTGTTGAACTTGTACTCTGCTGTACTCAAGACAAAGAATATCAACGAGTTAAAACTGTTGTAGAGCTCTCTCAAGAAAAATATATGATGCTTCAAGTTAGGCCCTTCTCTTAAACTTACAGTGTACTCCACTAAACATGAAGAAAGCCAACTAGTTACAGGAAAACAGGATGCTTATTTGTTTCAACCACGAAGTCCCTTAATAACAACTGGCTCTGTGTTACTGATACATGTAGCTACAAAGGATGTCAACAGTAGCACTAGTTAAAACTGCCTTAGAGAGAAAAGCATGGTCAGCCATTAAGGCCCCACATACCAACAGGGTCCATGTGTTGAACCTATGGTCTACACTACTAAATACAAATAATGTCAACTACTTAAAGACATTCCCTTAGAGAAAAACACAGGCCTTAGGATTATTTTTGTAGCGTGTATGTCAGGCGAGCGACAACAGTCGGGATTCGAACTCCCAACCTCTTACGTCGATGAAGGTTAGACATCCAGGTAATACGATAGCCAAAAAACAGTTACTCAAGCAACTGGATATGATTTTGAAAACGTCAGACGTTTCAGCTAGTATCCACTAGCTTTCGTCAGTGACTGAGAGACCAGAGGGGAAAGCAGGTTTATATACACAACCTGTTGATTGATATGCAAATAAAGTGAAGACAAATTTTTGGAAGTCGAAAAAGGAACAAAAGTCAGACAAGTCAAGACAAGATGATGCAAGTTAGTCTGAAAGCTCCTGTTATACAGGACAGGAGCTTAAGTGTTGTCTGTCCTCGGGGCTGGGAGTGCCAAATCCCAAGTTCCGGAAAGATCGACCCGTAGCCCCCCTTCCCTGTTGAGGGTGGGGTTGTACATTCTTTCATATATTGCCTCTTTAACACCCCGTTCCCACCAGCGTGTTTCGCGGTCTAAGACATCCATGGACTCGAGTTTGAAAGAGTGACCCTGGTTGTGTTGTAGGTGGTGGAAAATGGCTGAGGAGTAGCCGTTGGCACTAGGTCGGCAATGTTCTTTGTACCTTACTTTAAGCGGTCGACTTGTCTCTCCGATGTAGGTGTTGTTACAATTGGGCTCCTCACATTTGAGTCTGTAAATAACATTCGCCTTGGTACCCTTGTGAGGTCGGTCCTTAGGGTGTACCAGTCTTTGTCTGAGGGTTGAGTGAGGTTTGAAGTTAGTGGCTATGTTAATAGCCAACCTCTTAATCCAGAGGCAGGGTCGCTAACCACTGGATTAAGAATGCAACAGGTACTACAGACACTACAGGTACTACACACTACCTTGTTCAGGAGCTCCCAGCGCACGCTGGTCTTCTCCTTCCTCTCCACCAGGAAGCCGACGATCTCGGAGCCGCCGTCGTTCTCGGGCGGGGACCAGAGCAGCTTCAGGCTCTCCCTGGTGATCTCGCGGACCTGCACATGGACAGGCGGCCCGGGGGTGTCTGTGGAGAAGTAAAATCAGTTAAGTTGTGTAAGTTGTTCTACTTCTTGTGTCTGCTTTGAAGGAGGTGCCAGGGACGCCTTAAAAGCAGCAGGTCAAAGACCTGAGTGTGATCTAATGGTAAAATAGATAAATAAAATGAAACATTCAATTTCAAGTGAAAAAGTTAAGTATACTTTTATTTATTAGTTGGTCCTGATTAGAGTATAAAAACCTTGCTAATGCTTCAATTTCAAGATTCTACTAGCTACTGCCAGCCCCTTAAACTTGACATGCACTTAAATTTTCCTCCTCACCTCATAAAACCTCATAAAAGATCATTTGTAATTGTATAGGAAAAAGACGTCTATAGCTCGACGTACCGAATGGATGGCGGGCGAGCACATTGCCGGTTGTAGCCGGATCGCCCACTCCGAACATGTTCTGCGCGCTGACGCAGAACTGGTACTCGTTAAACGGAATCAGCTTCGGAATCTTGAAGGTGGTCTTCCTCACAGCTCCAGAAACCTGGAGAATTAAAGAAAGCAAACAAGATGAGAGAAGAAACGAATCAAGATAAATTACGGAGATTTCCAGATGTTTCGAGTGACATCCATCACTCTTCTTCAGCAACACTAATGAACTAACAGAACTTGTGAATTATATATGTGAGCAACAGGAAAAACCGATTGAACATGCCAAAGACACGAGTCATAGATATGTTAAGGAGATAGGGTAGTTCCTTTGGTAAGACAACACCATAGCAACTTGTACTGCTACAAGATGAAAAAGATGTACATGTAAGATTGAAGTTTTAGCCAAACACATTACAAAAGTTCAATCAGATTGAGTAAAGAAAGCACACATATCTACAAAGGTTAATCAGACTGAGTAAAGAAACAGAGAACATCAGTGTACCTTCTTCCAGTTCTTGGTCTTGAGGTCCATCTTCTCGATGACGTAATTGGTGACGCCCGCTCCTCCGCCGTCCTCCGGTGGTTGCCAGGAGACGGTTCAAGTCTCGGGGGTCGTGTCCTGTATCTGCAGACCCATGGGGGGGCCAGGCTTGCCCATCACCAGCACCTGGATAGGTGAGTGAAGAAAGGAATAAATGAATGAATAAATGAAGGTTTATATAGGGTGACAAAGTCGATATGTACAATAACAGTGATATAAATATAGTGTTTTCACATAGCCCGTATAGGTTTCTAAGATAGCTGAACATGATAGAGGGGGATGTTTTTTGTATTAATCAAATACCATCATAGAATCAATTCTTGTAACTACACAAAGAGTTTCTTAAGATTAATTCAAGTCTACATAAAAATTTCAAAGTGCACTTATCAATGTTTTATAATGACATGTCAAAAAAACTAGACTATAAAGGTTACCTTGACTGTGAATGGTAACTTTGACATCAATTTTTGGTTATGTATACCAAGCTTTCAGTAACACTAACACAAAGACTTGAAATCTTCACTAAAAGTAGAATGAAAAGTGAACTCACCTTGACAGTGACAGTGACAGAGCCGCTGTTGTTCTCAGCTGTGATGGTGTACTCCCCGGCGTCAGCACGGGACGAGTCGCCCACACACAGGGCAAACGCCTTGCCCTTCTGGTCAATCGACACACGGCCTGGGGAGGAAGATAATGATTACTACTGTGATCATTTATATACAAACAGGAGGATCAACTGTTTAACATGGGGAGAATGGTTACTAATAGAGAACCAGTTTAACCTTCACCAGTTTTGAGCACTAGGGACAGTACCAATACAACTGTACAACAGTACAGAGTGTAGTCTTTCATTATTGTCCATTCAGAACAACAACAGAGCATAACTGACTGCAGTATTCCAGAGGTTTTCATTCAAAACAAACTACAACTTAACCATGCTTTCAGCACTAGGGACAGTACCAATATAACCACAGAACAGACTGTAGTGCTCCATTGAAGTTCATTTAAAACAACAACAGACTGCAGTATTCCAGAGTTTTCCATTCAAAACTACACCTTAACCATGTTTTCAGCACTAAGGACAGCACCAATACAACCACCAAATAAAACAGGATACTTAACTTCAGAAAATGTTTGTTCTCTGTGTTCCTAGCCTCTCTGCAGATTTCTCGAAGGCTCTCACTTCATCATAGATATGCACAGTCCATGTTAGCCTCTCTACAGGCTTCTCTGAAGGCTCTCCATCATGCAAATCTACAGTATATGTTAGCCTCTCTGCAGGCTTCTCTGAAGGCTCTGAATTCATCATACATATCTTCCATACATGTTAGTCTCTTTGCAGGCTTCTTTGAAGGCTCTGCTTCATCATACATATCTACAGTACATGTTAGCCTCTCTGCAGACTTCTCTGAAGGCTCTCAATACATCTTACACATCTACAGTACATGTCAGCCTCTCTGCAGGCTTCTCTGAAGGCTTTCACTTCATCATATACATCTACAGTACATGTTAGCCTCTCTGCAGGCTTCTCTGAAGGGCCTACAAAACAGTGCATGGAATCTGAAGGCTTACCTTGGCTGCGTAGAACCAGTCGGCCCTTGGTGAAGATCATGGTCGGCACAGGTTTGCCGCCAGCGAAGCCGGAGATGACCAGCTTGTCGCCGGCGTGAACTTGGACCTTGTTGTCCTTGATCTTGGCATCCAGGGTGATGGTGGGAGGCTGGAGGTCGTCCTTGGTCAGCACGGGGCCGGCCCTCGCTGATGTTTCCTGCCTTGTTCTTGGCCTAGGAGGAAAATGAAAATGGAAAATTTATTACAGAAATGAAAGTCACTCTTAATTCTTTGACCTAAATGTGGATTGGATCATAAGTTCTCTCTGAAATATAATGATTTAAGTATGATGGCAACATACATCATGTAGTCTTGACATCTACATAAGATTTAAAGTTTGTAATGGTAGAGGGGAGGCAATGAAAATGCATGGTAACGATTCATGATAAAAGTATCACAATTGTAAAGTCTGGGGCGACAAATTAAGCATGCGACAAATTAAGCATGCGTCCCTCTAAACTTTTTCACAAATGATGCTAAAAATCAATGCTACTTGATGCTGAAGAATGCTAAAGAAGGTTTGAAACTGTAGTATCAAAATTGTTAGGATTGAGGTACAACTTAGGCATGCATTGCTTAAAAATTGAAATACATGTACTGCTGAACTTAATCTAAAGTTACTTTAGAACTAGAGCATTTGTTATAAAGGATATGTAAAGTTTGACCCTGACCTTGACCCTGAACTGGTACTTCTGCAGAGCCTTGATGTCGGTGATGACGTGCTCCAGCTTCAGCACTTCGCCCAGGTGACACTTGACCCACTTGTCCGAGCACACGTCGCGTGCCTCGATCACGTAGCCCGTGATGCGGGCCCCGCCGTCGTAGATCGGCTTCTTCCACTGAACGTGCACGAACTTGGAGCTCACCTGGAGGACAGAAGAAAAATGTAAAGACTTTGCATAATGTACAAAAAGATGTTGGGCATGCCAGCTATGAAGATGAACTGATGACAGACAGTCGAGAGGGACCTTCAGGCGTTAAACAAAAGTTGGAAAGAAGCCTTGAGACTAGCAGGCGACAGAGTAACAGCTTAACTTACGTTGCTCCTCCTTGCATGTGATTGGTTCAGGCAGCTCGGCGGGCACGCTCTGCGACAGCTCCGTCAGGGTCGTGACCCGGAAGCGGTAAGTCTGGTCGCGGTCCAGTCTGAACACGGTGTAGTTCACGTTCCGGGCGGTCGCCGCCTTGGTCCATTCCTCCTCACCGGGAGCTGCGATGGAGAAACAACAAGTTATGTCAGAAAGTTGTCCTTATTGTGAAACACTGATAAACAATCTAATCTAATGCTTTAAGACAAATTTCAAAAGGTTCTTAAGTAGCAAGCCCCCTTTCCTAGACTCTAACATAACCTGTACACCTGTATTGTGCTAGTAATCTATGAATTATGCAACTGAACATAGGAGTTCTTTTCTTACTGTCTTATTTGTAAATCAAACATTCTGCTCTGAGATTTAGATAACAATCTTTCTCAATATATGGGTTTACATGTAGATCAGAGTAATATGCTCTGAGAGAGTGTAGTAAATCCAATATAACAGACATTACCCCATCTGGCTTAACATTAAAAAATTGCTACAAGGATGTACATGTCTGCACATACCCAGGTATTCCACCAGGTATCCACTGATGCGGCTGCCTCCATCCCAGTCTGGTCTCTTCCAGGCCAGGGAGACGGTTGCCGGGGTAACCTCCTCCACAGTCAGGTTCTTGGGCTTCTCTGGCGGCTCTGATGGATAGATGGATCAAACATATACATTTAACAAGTGCCTCATCATTCAGATTCAGTACCACATTTGCTCCGGATTTAAAAACATGCATGTATGCTTGACTGAAAAAAACATTACTGCAAAGCCTGAGAATCAGGTTGATGCCTTCAGTTGGTGCATTCAGTTTCATGGAGTAAATACTGTGTCATATTCAAGTTTTCCTCCTTGTTCTCTGCTTTTAATTTTATGATGTCCGCTTGCTTCATTTTCACCAAAAAATTTCTGACAACCAAGGAGATGAATATAGGCTTTGCCTTACTAAAGAACAGAGCTTTGAAGAGATAACTGGGATAAGATGATCTTACCAACTGGGTCCAGAGCACAGATGGGCTCCTCTGTCTCCACAGCCTCGCCGATGCCATACTTGTTCTCACCTATGACCCGGAAGTAATAGGTGCATGTCTCCACCAGGTTGGTGATGCGGTAGGTGTTCTTCTGCTGCTTGAAGGTCACGGTGGCCCAGCCAACACGGCCGGCCTGGGGGGGAGGGGGGCAGATGAAAGAAACATTTTAGAATATCTCCAGACCTGCATATAGCCTCATCAGTTTGGGAAATCAATGCAACATAGTTTTAAATTCTTACTTGCACAGTCTTTTTATATCTCTGCCAATGTTTTGGGACAAAATGATAAGATAAGAATAGAATTGTTTGTAACAAATTGTTATGAAGGTCAGTTGAAGGGCAAGGGGACAAATAAAAGAAACATTTTAGAATATCTCCCACAAATAACCTCATCTGGTTGCAACATGGTTTTCTTCTTTTCTGCCAATGTTTCGGGACAAAATGGTGCAAAAAAAAATCTGAATTGTTTGTAACAAGTTGTTATCAACGTCAGTTGAAGGGCAAGGTAAGACATGACGCTGACCTCCTTCTTCTCCACGATGTAGTTGAAGACGTCTGCGCCTCCGTCGTCGTCGGGAGCGGACCACTGGATGATGCAAGAGTCCTTGGTGATGTCCTTGACCTTGATAGGTCCCGGAGGTCCAGGTGGACCTAGAGGTGAAGAACAACATGTCAGAATCTCAGAAAATCAATCTTATACACACCTGGACCAAATGGGGGAGGGGCGCTTCAGTGCACTATCTACCCAAAGATTGTCTCAGCGTTTAGATGGTGATAAACTTAAGGTGATTCAGAAGATTAAGAATCAATGTAAAAAAAAAACTCAGTAAACCTCAAAACCATTGGATTGAACCACTCCAGGATGTTTCAAATACTCTGAGGAAGGAATCACAATCCTTGCTGAAGACTAGCTGCAAGCATGCTCTCTACAGCCTATATTTAAGTGTTAAAGTTTCGGATTAACATATGACTCAAGAGGCAGTTCCCACTGTCTATGTAGGGGTGTGCCAAAGGAGAGAGGTTTTCAACACAGATGTAAACATGCAGCAGTATTCAGATTCACATAACACTGGTCAATTTAAATTGGGAAAAACAGAGGCAATCGGGAATCCTCAGAAATATCACATTTTTGCCTACAAGAATGGTATTATCTGAAAGCTCTCTTCACTATAACAGTAGTCATGTAAAAATTATTTGTCAGTGATGTTCATAGGATTAGTTATGTTTGATTGAAAATGCACTAGACCATGTGGTCTGTTGATAGCCCATCAATGGGCTGCAATTAAACCACTTGGCCTGTACAAACAACAATAGTGGCCTGCCACAACAACAATAGTGGCCTGCCTACAAATTTGAAGGAAAAGGTGTGAAAAATGTAAATCGACCAAGGTTCATAGACCAGTGGGCTAACCTAGCCCACCATGAGGGTCTGCATGCTCTTTTCCGTAAGGCGTAGGCGGGCCTTTTAAATTTCCCGTAATTCGTAGGGAAGTTATTTTATTCAGCGTAATTCGTAGTGAGGAGGTGAAAATTTCCCATAAAGCGTTGCCAGTGCATTTCACGTAAAGCGCAATCGAGCCAGAAAATTCCCCGTAAATCGTAGTTCAGACTCCCAATTTTTCGTAGGCCGTAGTGGATGAACTTGCGGTTGACCTGTTGGGTCATCCTTGTATGCAGGATTTGCATGTAAAAAGTTGCAGAATATACCGTTTCAGAGGGTCAAGATTTCAAAATTTTCCCAGGGAAGCATGCCCCCGGACCCCCTAAAATGTATGCGATGAGTCACGCCTTCGGTGCTGCAGTAAAATATTATTTTGCCCCCTCCCATAGAAGTAGAGTCGCTTTGCTGCCGTCTCTGCTTTCCTTCTCCCATCTGGGTCCAGGTGTGGTGCACGATGGCTCGACCACATAACGCCCGTGATGGTCTGCATTTTATCACATTCTGGGTCCATTCTGACCCAGTATCAGTGCAGTTGGAGTCGTGACAGTGTTTAAAACAGCGAAGTCACTGATGTAAATCAGTTGACAAACAAAATAGACCAGTCAACTCTGCCTGAATTTGAGGCGAAGCGCCAGAATTTAGCGTAAAACGTTGCCAGCCTTCTTAAATTTTACGTAAAACGTTGCGGGCCTCGATGAATTTAGCGTAAAGCGTAATCAGGACCCCCCATGCAGACCCTCTTACAAATTGTAATATGTACATTATCATCGGTCGACCGTATTGGTGGGGTTATACCGCCCCTTACGAGGTGATACACCCTTTCGCTAGCTAATACAAGACGGGGTTCGCCAGGCCTCCGTCCGGGTGATGATGTAATTCACCATGTTGGCTGATACATGTACGAGACGGGTCTGCCAGGCCTCTGTCCGGGTGATTTGAAGTGAATCACCAACTCCATACAGAACGATTTGAACCACTCACACCGGGAAGATCCCCTACTCTTTTCGATAAGTATGGTGGGTTCTTTAACGTGCGTGGGGTATGGCTCTCCCCAAACACGGGACCTCCATTTAACGTCCTTGTCCGAGAAGACGTCCCTAGCCGAAGCTAGGTACTCATTTCCACCTGAGTAAAGTGAGGAAAGTCGTGTTAAGTGCCTTTCCCAAGGGCACAAGGTCGGTGACACGGGCAGGATTCGAGCCCGCGACCTCTTGGGTGTGAGCCGAACGCGCTACCGACTGCGCCACACGACCCGACTATGTACATGCTACATATACATGTAAAGGCAGGAGGCTCTGTTGAAGCCCACTATGTGAACTGTTCCTCTAAAAACTCTCCAGGATTGTTTGGTTCTACACAAGAGTACAAAAACTCTCTCA